AATTCCCGCGCGCAGATTCTACTTTTGCAGAAAGAGACAAAGCGGAAGTTCAACTAGTTACACAGTTCTACAGGTCTACAGTAGCTTCAGCTGACGCAACAATCTTCAAATCACTAAGAATTCTCATACCAATGCATCTTCCAGTATGTGCAACAGTTTAGCCTTGTGATTTTCCATGATCATGTGTATTCCTTTCACCATGCCAAACACTCCGCCATGTTGGAAAACTATCGTACCCAGGTTTGCACGGTTGGTTGCACTTCAAGTGAGCGTATTTGACGTACAAACCAGGCAGGGCTCAAAATGGCGTCTGGAAGGAAACGTGGGTAAGTGGACTGTTTTTCCTTGCATAAATGACGCAACTATTTGTTTTACTGTAACGTAATGAGCCTTTTTATTTAAGGTTGAAACTTCACTCAATAATCGAGAAACTTTCTGAACAGTGTGAAAGAAAGAGTCCTTTACGCGTAAGTAGACAAGTAAAAAGTTGAAATCAAAAATTTTATGTAAGTTTTAGAGGCATGCAACATGCTCAGGGGCAATACAGTACCAGTGCGGTGTTTATAATTAAAGGAAATCTTCTTTTTATTTAGGTTGCTTTCCTAAAAGAGTAAAGTAGTGTTTTCTAAATGTTTCGATTGTCTGGCGAGTTAAGCACGTGTGAAATAATGAACGCCTTCACAATTTTTTCACAGTTAACGAAGGGCCACTTACAAATAATAATTTAGGATATGTTGGGATTTTTAGACACAAATCTAAATTTGTTGTCTGCTTCTCAGTATGTGATCGGCTAAGATTTTCGTGGTACTGTATTTTCTCGTTTGATCCCTGGGTCTCAGTGGGTATCCACGTGCGGGAGAGCAGTGAATTAATATCTAAAGTATTTATTTGAGGTTAAGTAACCTTCCTGAAGTCGTAATGGCAAGTAATATGGCTGTAACAAAAAAATAATGAATGATACGGCACTAAAGTAAGATAAAATATAGGGTTCTTGAGCCTGTTTCTTGAAAGCCTTGAAAACATTTTAGGCCCACAAAGACATTTGAAGTTAAATATCTGTGTCTAACAACAGAGAGCTGTATACTCCTGAAACCTCTTGTTTGAAGGGAACCTCTGTTCATATTTAGAATTTGTGAATAAAACAGCACTGTAATCATACGGTTTGAATTTTTGCTATGGCTTTCTGGATACGAAAACTTTTGGGACCATCGAGAAACAGGTCCCTGGATACCAATTTGGTGACTGAAATTCAAATGTTAGTAGCCAGAATGGAAAATCTAGGTGCAATTTTACTCCCCGCCCCTTGATGGGATGCTAGTCCATGGCAGGGTTACCCCCAGCATTAAATTTGCCAGTACCCATTTATAGAGAGCAGCAGTGTAAGTGTTAGTGTCTTGCCCAAGAACACAGCACAATGACCCTGGCCAAGGCTCAAACTGAGTCAAGGAAAACCCTGACCCCTGACCCACCCTGGGATAAGGTGGGGATTTGGAAAAAGTTTTCCTCAAATGTTGAATAATACCCCTACCCCTGGGGATGTAGAAGGCTAGAATCAAGTCTGATCTTGGGAAATATGAATATATTTTTTCTGCTGCTGGTCGAGAATACTTGTAGTCAACATGTGCTGGTACGTTTAGCACTGTTAAAAAACAGCGTAAAATTTACTTAAAATAACATCTTAGTTAACATATTGCTACATTGTATTGAATTACAGGATGACGAAGGTGAAGATATTCATCTGAGTTCAGAACTTTGTAATGTAAAAAGGTGCAGTATTTTAAATGTCATTATTTTCCCAGTGTACTGAACCAAATTTCCTTAATCAAGTGCTCAGCTTTACTTAAAGTGCCTATGAAGTAAAAAATAATTGCTGATTATTTGAAAGGCTTTTCAAAGTAAAGAAGAATGGCATTTTCCTTTTTGGAATATCTTTTTTCATTTTAGAGATATTCACATTTTTGTATTATGCAAATGAGGAAAGTGACGATGCCATAAATAGTTCCACCTAAACAGTTTGATACAGAATCAAGAATATCTCCAGAAATACTGGAGCAGTGTTCTTTAAACTTGGCACCAGAAATGTACATCACAAAAGAAACAAAATGACACCCATCCTGCAACAGTTATGCTGCTGGTCCTGTTTTAATTAAGACTAAAATTCCCAGATTTTATCTTAAACAAGGATCATCCACTCCCAACAATCTAATGGGGAGAGTTAAGACAATA